GGAAAAACACACCAGGGAGGCATACTAACTAGATGACATAGCCACCTCAACTGGCTCCTCTCGATGTGTAAGATGTGCAGATCTTTTTTCTTCAAGGCACTCGAGGAGTACAGACGCTTCTCTCTTTCGCTCCCTTATCTTTTTTCCCCCAAGGCTCTTTGTCCTGTCTGCCCACAGAGCGCTTCTCTGCATTTCTTCTGAAAAACTCTATTTTTACTAACCATCTATTTGATAAACTGGTCATTCGATGCGATCGATAAGATTTTTTCAACAATAAGAATGGAGCAGGGGGCTCCCACATGTCCACAGGGGACACACCCGGTGGGATATATGCTGGAGTCCTGGAAGGAGTGGAAGATCATATGCCTCTCCCAGCTGTCCACTGAGGATATCGAAGACGTGTGGATATTCGGCCTGATGATCACTGGATTTCTCCTGATTGGAGTGGGAGGATATCTGGTTTTCTGGAAATTTGGGAAGACGGGAGCAATTGGAGGGCGACCCGCACCCACGGAAAGCACCGTCCGTGAGGAGACTTCTCAGACTGGGACGTTACTCGAGGTGAATCGTAAGCTGGACAATGTTCTAGCTGCGATAGCGGTATTAGTGCGCAAAATGGATGTCATTTCGGAGAGAGTCACCGGACTGAATGGACAGGTTTAAAAACCCAAAATTGGCTTCACTGAAGGACTGGAATGATCAGTTTAAGACTGAAGACAGAGAGGAAAATTATCTCAGCCTGACCCAAACAAATTCTTGTTATCCGAATCTGACACCCTGGTAGCCTTGAGCGGTATGCAACAAACCCCCACGAAGAAATGCAGACAGATGCTGTGAAAACCCGACCCCCCCTCCTGTACACCAACGGATGTACCCCCAACCATGACTCCGTCAAGCTTATCAAGTTTGCAAAAGACACCACCGTTATTGGACTCATCTTGGATGGAAGAAGAAAATATAATTTTTGTAGCGCCTCTCAAGATAAAAACCACGAGGCGCTTCACAAAAACAAAAAATGTAAAAATACAAAAAAGAATTAAGAAAATGGTTAAAAATATATTTAAAATGAGCAACAAATAGACAATTTGTGAGTAAAGAAAGAGAGAGAGTGAATAGGAAAGAGGGAAATCAGTGGATCCTGAGGAAGGTGGAATAGTTGGGGAGAGCAGAATAAAGAGAGAGTGGTAAAGAAGGTCATACAAAAGCCAGCTTGAACAAGTGAGTCTTCAGCTGCTTTTTAAAGGAGACCACTGAGTCCACTGATCTCAGGCTCAGGGGGAGAGAGTTCCAGAGTCTGGGGGCCACAGCAGCAAATGATCTGTCACCTTTGGTCTTTAGCCTGGTGCGCTGCACAACCAGTAGGCTTTGATCGGTGGACCTCAGGGACCTGCTGGGGGTGTAGGGACTAAGAAAATCACCTATGTAAGATGGTGCTTGTCCATGTAAGGCCCTATAGACCAGAACCAGGATCTTGAAATGAACCCTGAAGTTGACTGGCAGCCAATGAAGCTGGAGGAGAAGCAGGGTGATGTGGGTGTGTTTGGACGACTTGGTCAGAAGCCGAGCACAGGCATTCTGAACCACCTGTAGACGGTTCAGGGAGGTTCTGCTCAGACACGTGAAAAGAGAGTTACAGTAGTCTAAGTGGGAGAAGATGAAGGTGTGGAGAACAGTCTCAAGTTCGGAGTGGGACAGAATGGGACTCAGCTTAGCAATGTTCCTGAGATGGAAGAAGAAAGAGCGAACAAGAGAACTGACATGAGAATCCAGGGTGAGAGCTGGGTCAAAGGTCACGCCAAGATCCCTGACAGAAGGTTTGGTGTGAGAAGCAAGCTGACCAAGAGAGTCTCTGACTTTGGGAACCAGCTTGTGTGGGGCACAGATGAGGATCTCAGTCTTATCTTCATTCAGCTGAAGAAAGCTCCCACCATCCAGGTTTTGATAGAGTCTAAGCAGGTGTGTAACAGCTGCAGCTTAGATATCTCATGGGGCTTAAAGGAGATGTACAGTTGGATGTCATCTGCATAAAGATGGTTGGAGATTCCTTTGAAGGAGCTCAGGATGTGCTGAAGAGGAAGCAGATAGAGGAGGAAGAGCAGAGGCCCCAGCACAGAACCTTGTGGGACACCATGGGTAAGGGAGGTGGTGGAGGACCTAAACTTGGAGACGGCCACAGAAAAGGAGCGCTCAGAAAGATAAGAGGAGAATCACTCCAGAGCAGTTCCTGATAGGCCTACCCAGTATCTGAGCCTCTCCAGTAGCAGGTGATGGTCAGCAGTGTCAAAGGCTGGAGTCAGGTCCAGCAGGACCAGAACAGAACAGTCCCCTGCATCACTGTGAGTCAGAAGGTCATTAGAGACTCTAAGAAGAGAATGAGCTCTACGAAAACCTGACTGGAAGCAGTCATAGATGTTATGTTGATCAAGAGCAGCTGTGAGTAATTTAGCCACAACCCTTTCCAAGATCTTGGAGATGAACGGAAGTTTAGAGATGGGTCTGAAGCGGCTATGGAGAGAGGCGCCAAGACTCGGGTTTTTTAAGAAGCGGGTGGATTATAGCATTCTTAAGGTAAGCAGGGACCTGACCAGAAACCAGGGAAGCATTAATAATGGAGACCAATGGACTGAAAATCACTTTTAAATAAAGATGAGGGTAAGATGTCGAGGGGGCATGCAGAGAGGTCTTCATAGAGTTAACTAGTTTGGTTAACTCAGGCAAAGAAACAGGAGCAAAGCTATCTAGGATGATGGCCTGGTTGGAGTCGGGAGAGGCAGCGATAAGGCTGAAGGAGAGATGCTAGATCTAACCTTGTTGACTTTGCCCACAAAGAAAGACAGAAAGTTCTCTCAGTCTGCAACAGAGTGCATGGAGGCTGTAGGAGAGGCAGGAGACACGATGCTGCTGATGGTGTTAATCAGCACCTTGGGGTTCCCTTTGCTCTGGGACACCAGGTTGGAGAAACAGGAAACCCTAGCGTCTCTGACTGCAGAGTTAAAGGATGTCAGAAGATCCTTTAGGTGCAGCAGATGGACGTGGAGACGGGTTTTCTTCTACAAGCGCTCAATTTTTCTGCATTCCCAAAACTCTCATCTGAGCAAAGACAATTTTATCACACAAAAAGACTGATGAACAGTTTTTATCCAACAGCCATAAGATCATTAAATAATCACTGCCACTAATAGGGAGCCTAAGTCACACACGCCCATCTACTTCCGGACCATCGGTCCTCGGAAGAACGAAAAACTGAATGCAAGTCAAAGAGGCTAAAAACGTTATTTTCTGATTCCACTTGTTATGTGCCTTGGATTTCACGTATGATGTCCGTGAATTTTAAAGAAGCATTTTGATACCATGAACGTACTTATTTTCGAACGAGGGAAACACTATTTTAGGTTTTTTGTGAAAATAAGTCCATGACCACAAATGTGCTTCACGAAAGTGACGTTGTTGAACCAGACATGGAGAAAAAAACAGAGGGAAATGGCTGTAAGTTCAGCAAACTTCAAATCCTTCCTTCAGGAGGAAATAACCATCATAAATCTGGTCATGCAGCTACGCTAGAGGAGAGGAGAATATGTGGTGATGTTACATATGCGACGTGCCGATGTACTCACGCTAATTACAAACGTTTACAAGCTAATAAATCTCAAAGTACGTGACTGGCGTGGTCGAAACACCCATCGTTACTTTTCATTTAAATTGCAGTACAACATATGTGCGATCCAAGGCGTAAGGCAAAGCGGATTCGAAAATAGCATTTTTAGTCCCGTTGACTTGCATTCATTTTTTCGTTCCTCCAGGGATCCATGAGCCGTTCAGAAGGGGAGGAGATGTAGTCTCCCTATCCCACACTGACGCATAAGGAGGTTGGGCCTTTCCTGAACCTTATTTTATTATTATTTTACAAGAATGCATGCTGTCCGTATTTTAATACTTAATAGATAACTACTTTTTGGTTTGTGTGTTCTTATTTCCTTTTATTATGGGTCTTTATTATGTTTTTAGTATAAATCAACAGTGTTGCTGTTTGTAATTTCGTTGTAGTGTACTTTTTTATAATGACAAAATGATGTACTTACTGATTACTCTAGAAATTTTCAATTCACAGGAAATATTATAACAAGAACATTTTATTTAGTTTTTTAGAATGTCCAGATTTAAAATCTCAGTAACCGGTCTAAGATTGTTACCTTCTGTCATAAAACCATTCCCACACTTTACTAAAAAGGATATTTATATATCTCATATAAAGAGAAACTGCTTCTTTACCAACTTTGGGGACTATTCTAATTTTAAGACACATTAGTAAACAATGACTATTTTTAGGTTATTCACATATGAAATACCAATAATATGAGATAGAAAACTAAGTTATAATAAACACAGATAACATAGTCATGCACACTTAGCATTGTAGTGCAGTGGTGTCATGTGACGCACTGTCACTGTGTTTTAGACTTCATGCTTTTTATTCTATCATTGTTTTTATAGTACCTTTTAGGTTTGTAGTTTTTCCAGTTCATTTATCTAATTAAGCTTAACCTGTTAACCCTCTGATGCATGAATTATGAAATCTTCAACCAGGATTTTTTAAACAATTTTTTTTATTCATCTTTAGGTGTGAATTAAACAAATTTCAACAAATATTTTTGGAACATTTTGTTAATTTACAAATAATTTATTACATGTCCATCTCAGTGGACAGCATGCATTCTGAACATGAAACATGTTGGCTTGACTTACTGAAGTCCAAATGGAGGGGCTCACATGCAATAAAGTCTTCAACAGCTGTGCTTAATAGCAAAAATAAATAAATAACAATTTTGAGTACCTGTCCACTGGTGACCACTATGCATCAAAGGGTTAAAAGTGTCTGGTACGTTCATTTGTGCATGTATATGTCTGTTATTTGTTTTGGATGTGATGTAACTTGTGTTCTTCAGCAGCACATATTGGTAATTAGAGATCCATTTAGCCAGCGTTCTTTTTTGTGTGCGCAGGCGAGATGTTCTGGACGAATTGGTGACCCTACATAACTTCACCAACCAGTTTCTTCCCAATGCTCTGCGGGACTTTTTCAGACATATCCATGCCCCAGAGGAAAGAGGAGAGTATCTGGAAACCCTCATCACCAAGTTCAGCCACAGGTTTTGTACCTGTAACCCTGGTCTTGTTCATGACCTTGGACTTAGTTCTGGTAATGGTTTAGACATATTTGTATAACATACTAAACATTGTCTTGTAATTAAAGTCTCTTTCCGGAGTATTTCTCTTATCCAATGGCACCATCTCCAAAAAGTTTCCACATGGAGACTTTTTATTCTGGATTGGCATGAGGATTGTTTAAATTAAAGAACTCGCCTGAGCTACACAGGAAGTGAGACGTGGTTATGGGTTAAGGAGATTAAATTAAATTATTTTCATTTAATAATCAGTTGTACGTTCTACTTTTGGGGAATCAGCAACACGTTTGACTAAGGGGGTTCATGAGTCAAAATGGGGGGGGTGACATTTAATTAAAATTGCACCCACATTTTCAAAGTTAACACAATTATTTTAACAACGGTACTTTTTGTATCTTTACTGTTCCCCTGCTTCATCCCTCTCCCCCTCCCCCTGCGCGGTGGCTGCAAACTCACTGGTGCGCCTGCAGCCTCTCAGAGTTCCTGCTGATCTAAACATTGAAATAATTATTTTATTTTCTGTTCCTCACTTCTCATTACCTTCAATTGTGTCTGTTTGTTGCAACCACCAGGTACAAAAACTAACTTGTTTTTTATTTTGACAGTTTTTCTGTCCTGTCTCTGTTTATTATTTTCCTGCATCTCCTCTCAATCCTAAAGAAAAACTGCGACCTGGCTTCATACATTTTATCCTCATGAATTAACTTTGAACTGCAGTTCAAAAAGATCTACCGACCACAAATATAGCGGAGTGCGCGCCACGCACTAGCTGCACCAGTGAAGTCACTGGAGGACGAAACAGGTGATGCGCTCCGCAGCAGCAAAACGCATCAGACACAAATAAAAGACAGAAAGCATAAAAGAATATGAGTCGACATGAACAACCGCGTGTTAACTTTGTTTTTGAGGTGGCGACACTTTGAGAATGTTACTGGGGCCGTGCTCAGGACACATCTGTCTGGAGCGCGTCAACGATCAGAGCTCTGTGCCTCTCAGCTCTAAATAATCCTTGGAGAGTCCACATAGATAATGTAATATAAGTAGAACCAGGATCGTTTTAGCTCCCTAGCTTAAATTAAAGAACACAAGTTTGTCGCGTGAGTTGTCAGATCCTAATAGACAGTTGCCGGGACGGTCCTTTCAAAATAAGATGGTTCCCGGATCTTGTTCCGGCAAGATCAGGCTCAAATTAGCACTGCATACTATCATCTATTAGGTTCAATTTTGGAGCTGTGAGTGTTATGGGGTCCCAGAACCGCACTATACAGTTTTTGACGCTCTGTCTACTGCTGGAAGTACTGACTGTGTGTTTCTTTATTGCGGTTTCACATAGACGTAGACCCCGTACACATGAACTCGTAAATACCTCATCAGGCGCAGGATAGCGTAACAGCGTCACTGCCATATTGGATGGGTCTCACTCTCCAAAGCAGTGACTGTAGAAAAGTCCAAAGTCAATGCAGAGAGAGCAACTTGTGTCTGATTTTGTGAAAAAGCTTGATAAAATGTGTTTTTTAGTTGGATAGCACCTTACATAGTAGAAATCAATGCCCTGGGGGCAAATAAACACCCATTTAAAATGGCAGCTGGCCACTACGGCAGCACCAGTCCATATAGCTACGTATATATGTCTGTTGTAGACCAGCAGCTTAGAGACTTGAGAAATGGCAGATCCACCAAAGAAAGCTTGAAATCCCTTATCAGAAGAATCTAGAAAGCGATAGAGCAAGAGTTAATTTTGGGCCGGCTCTTCCTTGTGGGAGAGCTTTTCTTAAAAGAACGGTATGTACTACAGACTCTGACCTAGCCGGGCTGCTAATGGATAGGTAAGTAATAAATTATTTCACCAGGGTTATTGTCTTTGGTCGGTTCTAAATTTGTTCAGTTTTTCCCAAGATGGCGCCGGTGCAGTCGGCATGCCGTCTGCCTCATAAATCTGTTCTGTTTTTTGTATGTTTCTTCATGCTTTTTGTTCCTGTGTGGTTCAAATGCTAAAGTAGTGTACAACCGTCAGACACTTTTGGATTTACGCTGTTCGTTTTTAGACTTTGTGGAATCAAATCGTTGTGGATGGAAATCCTCCGACACTACTGTGCTTTCTTCAGTGCCGGCCTACCTGTGTGCGGCTACACCTGACAGGAGAGTTTGTCACCGCCGCAGGGGGAGGCATTCTAGTCAGCGTGGGTGGTGTCGATTGGTGCTGCTGTTCGTCCTTTTATCCGAGACTTTTGGATCCACCGAGGTTTTGCCTGGTTCCTGTGTCGGGAGTGTTGGATTTACCCCAATCGCCTCTTCCATGCTGCTCCTGGATTTTTCAGTGTGGTGTCCGGCACAAGAATCTACAGTTTGTGGAGCAGGATTAAGAATAGCTCTGATAGCCTAGTGAACTAGACCAAATTCTTACTTTGCAAAGTTTGCAAAGTAAATAATATATTTATTTAGTCTGGCTTGCCAGGCAATAGCTTTGATGCTACTTCCATAAAGTTTGCCTCTCTCAACGCCAGGTCCCTTTCCAGTAAGTCTTTTATGTTGAATTACTTCTTTAGTGAGCAAAATCTTTCTCTTCTCTGACTGATATGTGGGTTCGAGCCGGTGAGTGCAGTTTGTTTTCTGAGCTTGTTCCACCCGGATGCTCATTTTTTAGCAACCCTCGTCTATGGGCCGTTTAAGGATGAGATTTTTTTAAGCAGATCTTTTGAACGGAGCCTTTTCGAACTGCACTGGGTTAAACCATTTCTCTATGCAGTGGTTTATAGACTGCTGAGATACAATAAGGATTTTTGGAGGAATTGTAAGATTTTTTTGGCTTGTTGCATCATGACATATGATAGACTTCTTATTATGGGTGATAATGATATTTATCTTTGCTGTCCAAATATTAATTAATTAAATATTTAGGACTCTTTTGATCTAAATCAACTTGTTTCTGGTCCGACTCATTCTGATGAACATTTGCTGGACCTTGTTATAAAGAGGGATGTGTCAGTGACTACGTTGTTGGTTCAAAATGCAGTTTTTTCTGATCATTGTCCTATTCTGTTTGACGTTTTAGTTCCCTTTTTACCTGCATTAAGTAGTGTCCAGCAGAAGAATTGTTAATTCTTCCACTGCTCAATTGTGTTTTACTGAGTTTCATAATCATAACTTGTGTTTGCTGATGTTACTATTTTTTAAAACATATCTGCTACTGAGCTGTTGAGAGATTTGATGCTTCTTGTCTCCTTGTTTCAGATCAAATTGCCCCCATCAATCTTGCAGACCTAAATGTAAGCGCGAGCCATGGCTGAATGATAGCACTCGTGTAGCTAGAAGAGAGTGCAGGAAATGTGAGGGATCTGGAAAAAATCTAGGTCGCAGGCCTCATTTGAAGACTAAGGTTTGCATTGTTCTCCTATCAAATGGCTGTAAAAAAGGTTAAATCCACGTTTTTATCTGATGTTATTAGCACTAGTGGGCATAACTTAAGAGTACTTTTTACTATGGTGGATGGGATTTTAAATCTTTCATGTGCTGGTGGACTTGAAGCCTCTTCGACTGCTGCTGAGAGGTTTCTGACATATTTTATTGGTACAACAGAAACTATTCGAGCTCAAATTCCTCAGCAATCTTGTTTTACTGATGGTGATATCCGTTTTGATTCAACTACTCAATTCTTTTGAGTGTATCCCCAGTTATGTTGGATGAAATTGTTGGAAGCATGAAACTATCTAGCTCTGCGCTCAACATTTTTCCATCCTCAGTTGTTAAGGACGCTTGGCCAGGTATTTCTAACGTGGTTCATAGGGTAATCAACTCTAGTCTGCAGTCTGGGGAAGTTCCGAAGAATCTGAAAAGAGCTGTAATCAAACTCTGCTCAAGAAACCCGGTCTTGATGTCTCGGTAGTATCCAATTATCGACCTGTTTCTACACTGCCATTTCTTTCTAAGGTTCTTGAGAAAGTCGTTTTTAAGCGATAGTCTGACCATCTAGATGATAACCAACTCTTAGAAGTTTTTCAATCAGGTTTTAGAGCAAAGCATAGTACTGAGACTGTGCCAGTGAGAGTGCTCAGTGATATTTAGAATTGCACTGATGACGAGTGACACATTCTTTTTGTTACTCTTAGATCGGACCACCACTTTTGATACTCTTGATCATGTCATACTTCTCAATCGTCTGGAGAAGTTTGTCGGTCTCTGTGGTTCAGCCCTCTCATGGATGAGTTCCTACCTGTCTGACAGGTATGTGACTGTTAAGAATGGCAGCTTTTGCTCCAGTGATGCTCCCCTGAAATATGGGGTCCCACAGGGCTCTGTACGTGGTCCTCTGCTTTTCAATTTATACCTGCTCCCAGTTGGGGCCATCTTTTGGAAATATGAGCTTGACTTTCATTTTTATGCTGATGACTGTCAGGTCTATGCTGCTATTAAAGCTAAGGAATTAGCTCTGAGTTGTCTTCCTGGAGTTAATGATTGGATGGGTTGTAATTTTCTCCAGATTAACAAGTATAAGACTTAGTTGATTATGTTTACACCAAGTGGTGCACCTGTAATTACTCAGTCATTAATGCTGGGCTTTTCATATCAGGCAAAGAATGTTGTTTCTAATTTGGGTGTTAAAATTGATTCTCAGCTTAATTTTGATGTTCAAGTTTTTCCAATTCAATTCAATTCAAGTTTATTTATATAGCGCCAAATCACGACAAGTCGTCTCAAGGCACTTCACACAGTAAACATTCCAATACAGGTTAGTTCATTAAGCCCGTCAGTAAAAAGTTTCCTACATATGGAACCCAGCAAATTGCATCGAGTCACTGACTAGTGTCAGAGTCTTTACAGCAATCCTCATACTAAGCAAGCATTTAGCGACAGTGGAGAGGAAAACTCCCTTTTAACAGGAAGAAACCTCCAGAGGATCCTGGCTCAGTATAAGCAGCCATCCGCCACGACTCACTGGGGATCAAGAAGACAGAGCAGACACACGCATACACCAACACCAGTCCACCCACACACAAACAGACATCCACACACACAA